CGCCACCTGGCCGTGGAAACCGAGGCGCGGTCTCGCTGAGAAGCCGCGGGGGAGCCGGGGGCCCGCGCTGGGGCGGCGGGGTGCCTCCGCCTGCGTCTCCGCGTCCCCGGACCCCCTCCTTCCCACACCATCTTTGGGGGTAACTTGGTGGCCCGCCCAGACACCCCTCAAACCGCTCTCGTCCCGAATTCGCGACCCGTTCCTTGCGCGAGCGGTGGGTGCTGTTGGGTGGTCCTGCAACGCCCGAGGCCCTCTCCTGCCGCTGCGCTCCCGTCTGCGCACTCCGGTTCCGCCCTGCACCGCGCAGAGCCCGCGAGCTGGCGCGCGCTTGGGACGGCAGCGAACGCGCCCTGGGCGCGGCGCGAACCCAGCGCGAGTGCGACGGTTGGGGTACCGCTGCCCTTTAGCATTGAGCTACGCAAGCTTTTGCCATTTGTGGCTGCGTAGTTCAGGGTTGCTTATGTTCCCATGATGGAAAAAGGAGCAAAATTAGTTCCCACCTTAACTACCATCTCAAGATCACTGTAACAGTCTTGCCTGGTTCGTACTCCGGCCTCCCTCTCCCCATCCTGCAGGTCCTTAACCCGGTCAGCACTGCTCTAACGCTGGACCCCTAACCCTGTCCAGACTGGCGCTCTGTGCCTGGGAGCCGTGCCCACCCCTCCAAACCACCTCTGAGCTCTTCACACAGCGCAAGGCTGAATTGCAGATTACTCATTTTTGTTCCAGTTGTCTCATTTTCACTTGGTTTTTGCATGAGTTTTACATCCGCACAGTCCGAGCTTCAAAATATCTACTAAGATATGAAAAGTTGCCTCTCCCACCCTGTCCCCTGGTCACTTACTAAGAGAGGTATTTCATGCATATTTAATACCCAAATATAAACCTCATCCATCTATTCGTTCTTCCCTTTCCCTGTGCATACCATACACACTGCACTTTATACTTTAAAAATCTTTTTGAGACAGTTCAGACTGGCCTAAAACTCACTTTGTAGCCCAGGCTGACCTCGAACTCGAAGCGATCCTTCCTTCCTCAGCCTCCTGAGTGCTGGGATTACAGACGTGCACCACTACACCCAGTTTATACTTTTCACTTGACCATGTTTTAGAGATTTTTCCCATCCATAAAGAACTGCCTTTACAACCACAGTGGAGTCCATTGTAGGAATGTAAGATAATCAGTCAGATGGCACTGATTGTTTCTCACTTGCTTTTACAGTATACACTGTGCTGCAGTGAATAACCCCACACACAGACTATTTTTGTATGACTAGAATTGTGTATGGCTAAAGCATGTGCTCTCACACAGTTTTGCCAGATTGTCCTCTGCCGAGCCTGAGGTGGCTCTGCCCTTGCCCCAGCTGTGGGTAAGAGTGACTGCTTTCCCCACAGCTGACAGTGTTTCACCCAAGTTTTGAAACAGACAATCTGATAGAAGAAAGAAATGGTACGTTTTCTAGTATAATTTATTTTGTTGGTTTTTTTTGTTTGTTTTGTTTTTTTGTTTTTTTGTTTTTCTCCGGTACCGGGAACTGAACTCACGACCTTGTGCTTGCCAGGCAGGCGCTTTTGCCGCTGAGCTAAATCCCCAGCCCCTCTAGTATAATTTAGATGGGACATTTTTTCATATATTGAGAACCATCTGTATTTTCTTTTCTGTGAATTATGTGTCTGTGTACTTTGTTCATTTTTTTCTAGTTGGGTGTTTAAAACAATCAATTTGTAGAAACTCTTTGTGTATTGGGGAAATTAGCCCTATGTAATGAACTGCAAATATTTTTTTCTGTTTATTGGCCTTTTGGTTTTGATTACAGTATTTTTGTCATGTAGAAAAAAATTTAATTTTCATGTGTTTGAATGTATTAATCTTTTTTCTTTCTTTTAGAAAGAAACTAACAGATTGAGTACTGCAGAGTGAGCACAGGAGTGCTCTTTCACTGGATTATATTCTCAGATCTTTTTATTTTTTAGTTTTGAGACAAGGTCTTGCTAAGTTTCCCAGGCTGGGAAGTAGAACTTAAAACCCTCCTGCCTCAAACTCCAGAATAGCTGGGATTTGAATCTATTAATCTTTTTATAAATGAATTCTGTATCACATATCAAGCTTGGGAAGATCTTTCCCACTGTAAAATCATAAAATAATCCTCTCCTGGTCTTTCTTGATTTTTGTGAGTATACTTTTTACATTTAAATACTTGTTCCATTTGGAATTTTTCTTTCCTTTCCTTTTGGTTTGGTTTTTTTTTTTGTTTGTTTGTTTGTTTGTTTGAGGTGCTAGGGATTGAACACAGAGCCTTCACACTGAGCTACTTCTCCAGCAACTTCTCAACTCCCTTTGTAAGACAAGGTTTTCCTTGGTTGGGCTTGAACTTTCAATCCTGCTTTCTCAGCCTACCAGCATGCTGGGATTACAGGTGTGTGTCACTGTGTCCTGCTTGAAATTTTTATCGGTACAGAGTATGTGGCATGAATCCAGTTTCATTTTTCCCAGATCTGGAATACATCTGGAAAGAATTTTTCTCTTCCCCCACTGCATTTTCTCTTGGGTGGTTATAGGATATATACATATATAGAATATACCTATCTATATAGATATAGATTTTTAAAATAATTTTTAATTTTATTGGTACATGTTAACAATTCATGCAGTTTACAATGACCTTGGGGAATATATATAATAATTTCTATTGATTTTTCTCTTTTTTTGGTACCAGGTATCAAGCTCATGACCTTGTGCTTGCCAGGCAGGCACTGTGCTGCTAAGTTATATCCCCAGCCCAGATTTTCTTTTTTTTTTTCTTTGAGATGGGATCTCACTTATGGAGCCGAGGCTGGCCTCGAACTCATGGTGATCATCCTGCCTCAGCCTCCTGAGTTGTGGTTATTACAGGCACGTGCTACCATGTTCGACTCTGACATGTTTTTAAATCCTTGTGACCTCTGGAGGTAGATAATAGGAGGTGATAGTAGTAGTATTATCCCCATTTTGCACAAGGAAGTCAAGGCTCACAGAGATATACTGACTCCAGACAGCCCACTCCCTCATCCTCTTCATATTCTGACTCAGGCACTGCCCCCTGGCTGATGCATCTCCCCTGATCCATAGCTTGGTGAACAAAATTGTGTTTCTGTCTCTTAGAAAAGAGCATCTCTCCCTCCAGGCAGAGAACACCAATAACTGACCCGCAGAAAGTGGGCAGAATTTCATACCCCACTCACCGCTCAGCTGGGCATGGAGAACAAGCTGTACATAGTGATCTTGTTCAACTACCTCCCCAGTAAGGTGGCCACCATGTCTATAGATGCAAACTGCCTCCCTCAATGCAGCCACGCTCATCCTGTCTGCCCTTCTCTGCTTTTTCCCCCTTAGCGTGTACCGCTCTCTGACATACTTAATGTTGGACCTATTTACCTTGTTTACTTTCTGTTTCCTCATTTCCAAGATGTAAGCTCCATGTAGACAGGAATTTCTGCTTTGTCCTGAAATCATGCTTGATGCATAGCAGACATTCAAAAAGAGGCTGTTGAATGAATGAAAAGGGTGATGCCCCGAGGTTGCTAATGCAAGAGAGGAGGGCAAGGAAAGAGGAGGTTTGGAAACTCCTGTTAGGGCTGGAAGTCCAGCCGCTCAGCTGGAGAGAGTAGTGGAGGCGGAAGGCATCGCACAGTATTTTTCCTTTGTTTTGGGTTATTTCTGCAGCCTTTTCGCACTGTGCCTTATTATTATTACCTAGCCAGGGGAAGGCAGGGCAGTGGAGCCATTCTCTCCTCCAAAACGAGTGGGAAAGTGGCTGCTGGCTGACCTCCCTCTGCTTGTTGCTCTTTAGGCTGGGAACTGGCTCACTGCTCAGGCCTCTGGGTGCCCCCAGACTGGGCCCCTCCTGAGGACCTTCAGGACACTGAGAGACACCAAAAGAGAGTTCGAACTATGTTTAACTTGGAGCAGCTGGAAGAGTTGGAGAAAGTGTTTGCAAAACAGCACAATCTGGTGGGAAAGAAGAGAGCCCAGCTGGCATCCCGGCTCCACCTTACAGAGAACCAGGTGGGAGTGGGGACTTCCGTGGGGCTGGGCTAAGCCTGGGGACAGATACCTCTGGAAAGCCCTAAGTGGAAGTTGGGAGGGAGACAGGCGCCTTCTTCCTGGGTGCCAGCTCTTCAGGCGACAGGCCCTAACTTTTTGTTCACTCCTTAGGTAATGAGAAAAATAGTCCATTTGAAGTAACATAATGGGAATATCATGCAATATTCATCTAGAACTTTATGATAAAGTATTTCTATGCTAAATAAAGGGCAAAATTAAGTAGATATTCAAGAGACTTTTAAGGGGCTGGGGATTTAGCTCAGCGGCACAGCGCCTGCCTGGCAAGTGCAAGGTCATGAGTTCAATTCCCAGTACTGGAAAATAAAACAAACAAACAAAAAAAACCAGAACAAGAGACTTCTAAAAAATAATAAGTATTCCCTTGACACCCTTCCCCATGAACTCACTATGTAGCCCAGGCTATTCTCCAGCTATGGTGTCATTTCTCTGCTTTTTTTTTTTTTTCTCAAGAATTCACTACATTAATTCCCTCCCTGTCTTCACCTCTCATTCACTCCTTAACTCATTCCACTGGACACTTTCCCTCCCACTCCATAGACGCTTCTCAGCAAAGTCTTCAATGACCTCCACTTGGAGAAGGCTAGCAAATACTTTCCTTCCTCAACTACATCACCCTGCAGTGGCTCTCACTACAGCTGACCACCCCCTCCCTTCCTGAAACACACTATCTGGGTTTTCCTCCCAGCTTTCTGGCCACTTCTGACTCTTTTGCAGGCTTCTTTCCTTCGGACATCAAACTCTATGACTGGTCTCACCTATGCCCATGGGTTAACAAGCCACCTCTAAGCCCAGCCCTTTCCGCTGATGGGAACCTAAGGCCTTCACATTGAGATACACCGCCAGCCCTTTTTAATTTTGAGACAGGGTCTTGCTGAACTGGGCTTGAACTTGAAATCCTTCTGCCCCAGGCTCCCAGAGTGCTGGGATTATAGGGATGCTCCTACACCTGGTTTGTTTGGCTCATTTGTTGCCAGTCTCCCTCTACTTGACTGTGAGCTCCATGAGGGCAGGATCTGTGCCTCTATTGTTCACCACTGGATCGCTGTTACCCAGGCTGGTGTCCAGCACACTGTAAGGGCCTATGAAGTAAACACTGGGATGAACGAATGGTGATTGGGGCTTTTTGGAGGGGTATTTCCTGTAGCAGGAAGAGCAGTTTTTTTGCCAGACAGCAAGGGGTAACCACTCTAGGCCTGGGGGAGTAGCGAGACGTGCTGGTCACATTCTCATGTCTGCCCACTGTTCCGAATTATAGGTGAGGATCTGGTTCCAAAACCGCAGAGTCAAGTATCAGAAACAGCAAAAGCTGAAACTGCCAGCCCTGTCTGCTGCGGCTGCCTCCCCAGACGAGCCCTCCAGCAGCTCCGACAGCAGCACCCAGAGTGAAGATGCCGAGTCAGGAGCAGACAGCTGAGGACTGCAACGGAAGCCCTACTAGCTGGGCTAGTTCTTCCTGGGGGCACCCACTGGACCTCCCTGCCCCGCATCTCAGTGAAGAGCCTCCTCAGGGTCAGAGGGCACCAAAGGAATTTAAACTGTCAAGCAGGGCTCCCTTTTCTATATCAGCCCCCGGGAGCAGGAATAATGTAATGGGCAGAGGCACAGACTTTGGCTGTCAGCTTTGTCCTTGACTAAGTTACCGAACTTCTGAACCATTTCCCTTCATCTGTGTAAAGGGTGTGTTCATAACTTACACTTCCCCAGGGCGACATGTAAAGCACTCACAATGTGCTAGGTTCAGTGGTAAATGTGCAGTAGCTGTTAAGGCTTTTAGGTTTCCTCACTTGAGGGAGTGATACCTACACCAGCCCTGGCTTCCCAGGGATTACTCCATCTTTTCCCAGCCTGCCATGGAGAAGAAAGGGCCTCACTGAATCAGTGCCAAGGCGTAGAAGAATCTTCCTCACCAGAGATGGTGGAGTTGAAGGCAAAGAAGAGGGAAAAGCAGACTGCTTAGCCTGCTTCTCTTCACAAGTGCCTGACGTTTTCTTCATTTGTCTGAACTGTTACCACTCTCAGAAGCAGCTCAGGTCCAGCTGCCTTCTTCAGCAATGTGCTGCCCTGACCATCATCTTTTTCTCTCCAGCTACCTGCCTCCACTTCCTCCTCCTTATTATGTAGAATAGAGAAGTCTGAGTCCATTGTGTCAGAACATTGCTGTATTTTCACAGGATAGTTAGGTCCCTTCCATGTCACCCCCCGACCCCCTACAAAATCTTCAGTCATGCCTGCCTTTCCTTCCCAAGAATCTGCTGCTTCTCTCTAGGGAGCCTGCTCAGCCTGCTTTGGTGAAACCATCAACCTTCATTTTCACAACTTGTATTTAGACAATTTATTCAACAATGGCTGAGGACGCAGGGTGAAAAGGGGGCGGGAGAAGAACAGCACTGCCTCCTAGTGGTGAGAAGGCAGCTTTCTGAAGGTAGGGGAGGAAAAGCAGGGAGCCAGGGAGCCCTTGGAAAACAACCTGGACCCAAGGTGTGTGGATTCCTGGATAGGAAGTAAGCTTGAGGGGAGCCAGTGTCCAGCCTTAAGAATGCTTCTGTGGCTGGACATGGTGATGCACGTCTATAATCCTGGAAGCTGAGGCAGGAGGACTGCTTGGAATTTGAGACCAGTTTAGGCTACACAGTCCAAGGCCAGGCTGAACTACGGAGTGAGACCCTGTCTCAAACAACAAAAACAAAGAATGCTTCTTTGTCCCTGTCTTCAGAGAAGTCCTTCCTAGGCAGGACCCAAAGTTAGTTCTGTTAATCAAAGGAATCCATATACATCTGCCTGTTTCAGAAAAAAAAAAAAAAAAAAAGGGTCACTTGAACTTTATTTTTTTTGTGGTACTGGGGATTGATCCCAGAGCTTTCACAATGAAATACATGATCACATGTTCAGCCCTTGTTTATTTTTTAAATTTTGAAGCAGTATCTTTTTAAGTTACCTGGGTTAGGCTCAAACTTAGAATCTCCTGCCTTAGGCTCCCAGAGTGTTGGGATTTCAGGCATGCCACTACACCTGCACTTAAAAAAAAAAAAAAATAGATCTGTTACCTATTAATTATTGATTCTACCCAATCCCCAAATGTCACCATGGGACCACGGCAGGTGCAGACACAGGCTCCTTTTTTTTTTTTTTTTTGGTTTTTCTCCGGTACCAGGAACCAAACTCATGACCTTGTGCTTGCCAGGCAGGCGCTTTGCCGCTGAGCTAAATCCCAGCCCCGGCTGATCACTTCTTGAAGGAGTGAAAAAAAAGTTATTCAGCCCAAGCCCACAGCAAGAGCCACAGCTGCCATGCCCCAACCTTTCCAAGCATGCTGCAGGGCCACAGCTGACCTGTGCTGTTCTGCAGTCCTGGGGACTGAACGCAGGGTCTTGTGTGTGCTAATCACACACATCACCACAGAGCTACATCCCTAACCCTGCTTTAAG